TGAAAATTATATACCATGATAAAATTTGAAGGTGAACCTTACCTCTACAGTTACGGATGCATCCGTATGCCAACTGCACCCATTTATATATGGGACAGTGATTTCATGCAACTGTTGTATAGTAACATAATGCAACAATCTTCAAAAACAATATTAGGACCATTTGTTTGATCCAAATTTAAAAATATTCACTCTTTCCTTTCTAATGAACAATCACAAAAAAACTAATAATTGAAAACTCAACGTAGAATGCATTTTTTTAGCCCAATTAACATAGACCGTCCATTTTGATAAGATGCTTAGATCTAGGCCTAAGAAGGATTTTTTCTTTTCCAATTTTTTTAGATGACATATTATTATTAGATGAACAATGTTAAAAAAGAAATAAATGATTTTGAGTTTGTAAAGGTTAAGATCTTGAAATTCACCAATGAATAGTCTGGATTCGTTGTTGGAGGGGACTCATTTTGGCCATATCTAAGGTTCAAATTGAATTTTTACTTTTTTGGGATTGATTATTGAGATGAAGAGAGCGTGTGTGCAAAATTTTGGGTCGTACAAATACCACAAGTATGGTTTTCTAGAAGTGTGGTTGCATTATAATATGATACAACTGTTGCATTAGATCATTTCTCTCTCTCTCTCTAGGGTGAGCCCAGTAGCTCATGGAATAGTATAAGCCCAATGACCCATATTGAATTTGGGCTGATCTGACAAACACAGATTTCTGGTAGTATTTGAATTTTATTTTATTTTCTACAAATTCAAATCACTTGAAATTTTAGGCGTGTGTTCTTCTCATCAAGCCGTCCCTAATAAAAATATATAAAAAATAATTCTTCAAAAACAAATTGACCAAAATACCCTCGAAACTTTTCCGGGTATTTTGGTTAATTTATTTTATGCAAAATATTTTTTTGATATTTTTCAAAGATTCACCTATTTTTGATGTACACATGCTCCAATTTCAAGTGATTTGGATTTGTAGAAAAAAAATTAAAATTCAAACACTACTGGACATCTGTGATCGTCAGATCGGCCCAGATTCATTCTGGGCCGTTAGGCTCATTTTTTCTTGTGAGTCCACTGGCTCACAACATCATTTTCCATATATATATATGGATAATCTAAACCTAACAGCCTTTGAAAATGCAAATGTTTTGTTAAAACTTAGAATAGGTATGGGATAATCGATAATCTAAAATACACATGATTTTGACTTAGAATGGTAGAAAAGGGTAAATATTAAATAGTTGAAATATGAGGTGTGTTTTGATAAATAGCTTACAATAGACCCTTGACTTTTGGTATAAGGAGGTTGCGGTCATCCTTGGCTGTTAGATTTGAAATCGGGCAGTTGAGGGTGTGCCATTGACTAGTCTCAAAGTTCAAATGAAAATTTTCTGAACCTTGTGATAGACTTCAAGCTCTTGAATTTGACATCAGACAGCTAAGGGTGATTGTGACCTCTTTGTACCAAGGTAAATGGTCTGACAGTATGCAAGCTCTATAATCAAATCCAATATGCATACTAGACTTTAATCAAGTCTAAATTGCACACTAGATGTGGTTAAAATGAGTCTTCCTCCAACAATGAATCTAGACTCTCCATTTGGCAAGATTTAAGATTTAGGCTTTTATGAACTAAAAATTATTTTTTCGTTTTCAACATTGTTCATCTAATAATAATAAAGACATCTAAAAATTCTGGAAAGGGAAAAAATCCTTCTAAGGCCTAGATCTGTGTATCTCACCAAAATGGATGCTTATGATATTTGGGCCATAAAAACACTTTCTAGTGTGTGTTTTCAATTTTTTTGTTGTTGTGATTGTTTGTTAGAATAAAGAAAATGCATACTTAAAAATTGGGGTCAAACAAATGATTCTAATATAGTTTTTGAAGATTGTCTCATTATATTACTATAAAACTGCTGCATGAAATCATTCCCATATATATATATGTGTGTGTGTGTGTGTGTTAGTCCTAATCGTTCAAAGATATATTGGTAATTTCGTATATTGTTATTACTTATTCTTGTATTTGTAGTTCATGTTCACTGTGAAGGAGAAATATGTTATTTCAAGATTTTTTTAGTATCCATATCTAGCTTTCAATTAATTAGGGTTAGAAAGAATATAAATGTGTAATCTTTGAGTGCAGCCCCTCCCTCAAGAATGAATTAGGGATCATGTCAATCTTCTTTGCTTCCTCTCTACTCGTGCCACATCTTGTTGTTCTTTCTCAACTAACTAAAGCGTGATTGAAAAGCCAGTTAGGCGGGATAGATAGGTTGTCTGGAAAACTGGTCTGGATCTCCCGCATCAGCCTGTTCTGGTCTTAAAAAATTTGGAAAAACTATTAAATTTTCTTAAAAATCTATTTTCTTAAGTTTCTAAAAAAAAAAGTGTATTGCATTCTGGATTTTCATTAATTTATTGAAAATATGCAAATATTGAGAACATGTTTCATGTTTGAGTTTTTTTTACTATTACATTCATTTTGTAGGCAAAATGAAATATAAAATGCAACTCATTGATATAAAATGGATCTCTCTAACACAAATTTCTTTAATTTTTGTTCTTGAGTTTTTTTATTTTTCTAATCTTTGCACTGCATGCTTGTAAAGATAGGGAGTCTAGCCTACTCATTTTCTATTTATCCACTTTTCTTGAAAATTAATTTGGTGAATTAATTAAGTATTTCCATTCATATTTTGATTAATGTTTCAGCTCTCTAGAGGTGTCGTATTTAATTTATCTCTGGAAGTGTTGGGCCCTATTTGTATAGGTCTGGGCTGGGCTGTCCAGCCCACTGCCACCCCTAGTCCTAACCATATATTTCTTAGAGAAAGAATGAAACTGTTCTTATGTCTCGCTCAGAATGACTTTCATTCTTTCATATTGCCTTACTCTCTAGTGACACAGTTTTGACCACTTCTTGTTTAAATGTGGCTTGAGCTGTGCTGAATGTTAGTTTTGTGGAGTGACGCGGCTAGTTCCATTCGGATCTACTAGATTGTCTTCTAACTTCTATATCTTTTGAAGTACAGTAGATGATTTTATATAAATTAGACCCTCCATTATGTTGTTGTCCATCCACTGTACAATTTGAGGAAGATGTCCTGGTGTTTTATGCATCCCTAGCAGTATACACTGTTGTAGTTTTTGTTTTTCCTTGTGTTCCTCTTAAATGGTTAAGGATACAGGTACACTGTTTTGTGGTTGGTGTTACAAATGTCCCTTTGCAGTATGGCAAATGATGCTATCTTGTGGTCATATGTTGACGTGGCATATTGTGCTGGTGGAAGTCATCTTTGTTAAAATTGAACAAAATTTATCTGCTACTAGATTTTATTAAATCATTGAAAAATAATGCATGGGATAATGCTCAAGTCCATTGATTGTGGCAGGATTATCCTTCTATTCCACTGAGCAGAGTTTGAAAGATGCATTTTCACCTTTCGGAGAAGTCATTGAAGGTATGTGAAATTCTTTGATTGTTTTTGAATTTGCATGCACCATCAAAGAATGTGGTTTAGTACGAAAATCATCTAGTTAAGATACTCCATGTAGGGAAGGGTGCGCTAATATTTGATGATCTATTCCAAGGTTTAAAAATTTAGCGATTTGGATCGGAAATCGTGGTCACCGTTTTAGATCTTTCAATATATTGGGATCCGGATGATACTCTCTATGAAACACGGTTTGGGCAATATCATTCATTGAGGAGAATCAGATTCCCCAACTTGATCCCACGTTTTTATTAATTTTTTTGATTAAAAAAGTCAAGTGGTCGCCCACCGAGAATGAATGTTGATGTCATCCCCCATTTGTTGACTTAACAAACGTCATACTGTGGTGCTTCACCATGCCCTATTTCGTGTGGGCTTTTATAATGGCTAATAAGGGTCCTGACCATGCTTTTGACGGAATGCATAATCGTGTATGCGATAAGGGGACCTCATGTTAAAGACCTAAAAATAGAAAATCAGGAAAACAAGACCCGTGAGGCATTTCTTAAATGCTAAATTAAATTGATAATAATTTTAAAAGGCATGAGGTTAAGTATCAGTCTTAAAAATCAAGAGCTCTAAAGCCTTTATTTTTTTTTTATGACTCTCTCTCTCCTCTCCCCCAACCTTGGCATTTCTTTCTCTCTCCATCAAATTTGTTTCATTAATAATTCCCCTAAAATTCAACTATAACTCTCTCTCTCTCTCTCTCTCTCTCTCTCTTATTAACAATTTTTTTCTATTAAATTTGTTCCATATAGTTTTCAAAAATCAACGCTTCTAAGTCAATATAATAATAAAATAAATAAATTGAGTTAGAGAGATTCATTTTATTGTCACGTTGCATTTTAAATTTTATTTTGATTATAAAATGAATTTAATAGATAACAAATATTCAACGTGATGTATGTTTTCAATATTTGCATATTTTTGGCACAATAATGAAAAACCATAATGCAATTCCCACTATTTTTTTTTAGAAACCTAAAAAACTGGATTTTTGAAAGATTATAGTGTTTTTTTTAAACTGTTTTAGGTTGAAACTGGCCGATGCAAGATATTATCAAATCCGGTTCGTGATCCACCGATCCGACATAGTGAGTTGGGTGGTCAATCTTGGTCACCGATCTGTTTTTATAGACTTTGATTTATTCCATTGATAAAGTTAAAAATCAATAATAGATTTGTAAGTACTCACAAATTCACATGTTATCTCTCCTTCACCGATATAAACCAAAATACACACACAAACGCTTGTTACGACCAAAAGCAAAATAAAAAAGAAACACACTAGATGATAGTAAATCGCTTGTTATTTACAGCTGGCTACTTATTTTTTCTCATATAAAAAAGAGGAAAAAAACGTTGTTCTAACATTTTTCATATGTGATAATGGTACAGCCAGACTTGTGATCGACAAAGCGACTCTGAGGCCTAAAGGATATGGTTTTATTCGATATCAATCTGAAATAGAAGCACAAAAAGCCATGAAGGCCATGGATGGCAGGGTATTCTCTTACTTTAGTTGATGGATGATGGATTATGGATTGTTATGGGATCCATATAAACTTTGCCCTAGCAACCGGCCTAACCATTGCAGCCTTGATCCCTAGAGGTCATCCCTAGCCCAACACCTTGACCAGGATCTTGGCCCTATCCAGGCCAGGCCATGCCTAATTAAAAAAAAGAAATAGCTAAAACTGCAAAGAAAAATATGGGTCCCCGCCCTGGCCTTGGCCTTGACCCTGCCCTCGGGTTCTGGCTGTACTTTTTCAGGGCCCGACCAGGCCAGTCCACCGGACCCATTGCTGGCCCTATATCAACTTATATCAACTTTTATGATTTGGATTACTCTGTCCAAGTTAGTAGTATTAATTTAAATAGAAAAAAGAAGAAGAAAGTAACCTCAATTTTCAAATGACAGAAATTCCCGACCCTGAAAAGTGAGTAGATTGCACTTTAGCTACATTACTGTACTATATGAGTTTACAAGCAAATGTTTTTCTATTTATAAGCTTGTCCTCGCTTCTAGGCTTAAAAATCATTGATTTCAATTTAACATATTTTTAGTAACCTTCCCCCAAATGTTCTAGATGAATTCCCAATTTCTATCCCTTTTTTTTTGTCCAGATTCCTCTTTCAATACATAATTATAATTGTACTCAGATAACTTCCTCTTTCATTACATCACAGTACTCGGATAAGAATTTATGAATTTATATGATTCTTGGACCTCGATGAGCATGTATTCTTGTGAATATTTTCAAATGTAACTTTGCAGCATTGTAGTGTTTATTATTTTGCTGCCATTTACTATCGTTGTGTTAGTGTTTGTCCCTAGTGTTTGACAAGTATAGGATAGAAATGCCGCCCTATAAGATGACTTAGCAATGGAATTTTTTGTGAAGATTTTGGGGTCTGCGTTTAGGCTCATTGAAAGTCTAATCATAGATGCTGCTATTTTCCCGTTCTAAAATGCTTATGTACATTTGTTTTTTCATGGATTGGCAACAGTTCCTTGGTGGAAGGCTGATATTTGTAGAAGTTGCAAAACCTAGGCCTGAAGTAGGGGACGATGCCTCCCAAGTGATGGGTTCTAGTTAGTCTATGGAGTTCTTTCCGCAGGTAAAATGGTAGCGGGGTAGTGGACCCTAACTAAGAAAAGGTAGTGGAGCCAGGCTACTACAAAGGAAGTATGGGCTGATCTAAGCTACTGTCATTCTATAGAGTTTGGGAGCTCAGCTATCTTTTCCTAGAGCTACAAAACGCAGCGACCGGTATCGAAGATCGCGAAGGCTCATAACTGCGACGAACAGACAGCTAACTCCTATTTTTTGCGTTCAAGTTATGGATTCCCAGAGCTCCTTTGTTTTCTTTGTGGGACAGCATGTTGGATATGTTTATACTGGCTTGAGGAAAGTTGGTGGATTTATTTGAGCTCATTCTGAATGAATTTTGCATTTGATGCAACAACTTTTTCCTATATAGAAGAAAATGCTGATCTTGCGAGCACTGGGCTTTCTGGTTGATTTCCATATAAACCAAAATAAGTATTTATTTTGTGGGGTTTTGATGCTAAAGATGGCTACTCACATAGATGTGAGTCCTATTAGGGAAAAGTATTAGGCTCTTGTAAAATGAACTTAGCCAATGTACTGGGGATCTGGTGTTTCTCTCAATAGTTTGAGCATTTGTCATGTTCGTTTGCCAAATCTAGCTCAATTTGAGCATTTGGACCTTGTGACGGGGATGGGATGTGCCTACTACTAAATAGCGGGCGCTTGATGATTTACAGCGCTACGTTCTAGGCTCACCTCTTACAAAGGGTAAGCGCTCTCTCCCCACTCGCTCAAAATAAATAAATAAATAAATAAATAAATAAATAAATAAATAAATAAAAGGCGCTCTCCCTACTTACCTTAAAACGAAAAAAAGGCAAAATGGATAGAGCAACTGACTTTTTAAGCTAATGCCAAAATCATCACTACAGAAATATCTTTTAACAACCGAGAAAGTCCTCTATATACCCTCACCCGAAGCTCATATAACCTAGATCACTAGGCGCACGAATTGTTAGTTTGTTTCCTTACAAAACAGTTCTTTCTTAAAACTCCTTCTGCAGTTACTTCTTCTGTGTCATTTACCATTTAATCATCATAGTTATATCAAACTTACACATGTACCATAACTATATCACATAGCATACAAATAAATTGTGAAGATCGAGAACGCAGAGTTGTTCAAAACAACGGATCGGGCCGACTAGTCGGTTGTGGCCCAATCCGATTAGTCCGACCGATTCTGACTAGATCGGTCGATTAGTCCTGATTTTTTCTGAAAAATGCTTTTGGTAAAAAATATTTAAAAACACAAAAAGTCCAAAAAAAATACCAAAAAAATTGTAAAAAATGTTTGAAATTTACACGTATTGTTTTTTGGGAAAATATTTTCATATTCTTTATTTTTTGATTTTATTTCTTAATAAACCCAAAGTTTCAAAAAATATCTTTCAACCCCTTGGTCACTTAAAATTTATTTTTTAACCTAAACAAACGTGAGAAAGACATGCTCTTTCTAAACCCAATCACTTCTCTCTTCATTTATGTACCCCAAACTCCTTTTTTCCTCTCGTGTTTATCCAAACACCTCTCGTTCTATTCCCGCATTTATCCAAACACTTCTCTCCTAAAAAAGAATCTCGTAAACTCAATTTTTTTTTTCTTTTCTGTATTTGTATAATCTCTAATGCCACATGTGTTTGTAAAGATCTGGAGTCCTGCCTACACTTTGTTTTTCTTTTCTTGAAAATTAATTTATAGATTTTTTTAAGTATTCTCATTAATATATTTATTAATATTTTCTCTCTATAAAGGTTTCGTATTCAATTTATCGTTAGAGGTGTCGGGCCTGAGCTTTTTTGGGCCTAGGCGGGCTGCGTGGCCCATTGCCACCCCTAGTCGTAATTGTATATTTCTTAGAGAAAGAATGAAAGTTATTCTTATGTTATCTCTCAAAAGATAAAAAATGAAGGTCATTCTTTTATATTCCCTTATTTTCTAGTGAGACAGTTCTGACCGCTTGCTTACATGCGGCGTGAGTTGTGATGAACAGTGTTTGCAAAATCGAACCGGAACGATTAACCGGACATGGGCCTGGAAGCAGTTTAACCGGTCTAATCCGTAAACCAACCGATTTAACCACTCAAACTGGGCAAGTGACGGGCGGTAAAAAAAAGTGTTGAAAAAAATACAGAAAAAAACTTCTAAAATATGAAAACTATATAAAGAATGATTAAAACAAAACACATTCAAATGAAGTTTAAAATTAATAAAAAAATAGATTTTAACCCTTTTTATATTTTTGAAGGGCTATTTTTAAATTTTTTAAAAAAGATAGAAAAAGATAAAAGTGAGTATTAATGACCAAGACAATTTTTAATCTTTACCATAATATAAAGAATATTTAAAAATGCATTACAAATCAAATTCTTTATTTTTGAGAATTTATATATATTTTTTTTAATTTTTTTTTTTTAAAATACCGGTTGATCACCCTAACTGTCCAAATGGCCGGTTTCGATCTAACAGGTAGGTTAGCGGTTAGATCAGGCAATTTTGCGAGCTGAACTTTGGCATTGTGGTTTGAAGTGACTAGTTGCATTCGGATCTCTTGCATTGTCTTCTTACTTTTTATGCTTTTTGAAGTTTTGTAAATGATTTTACATAAATTAGAACCCTCCATTTTTTTTTGTCCATACAGTGTATAATATGAGAAAAGTGTCCTCGGGTTTTATGCATCCCTAGCAGTCTAATTGTTATAAACGTTATGTGGTCAATGCTACAATATTATTGTACCATATGAGTTTACAAGTAGGCTGAAAATTCTCTACTAACTAATTATAAGCTTGTCTTCGCTTCTCTATGCTTAAAAATCTTTGATGTCTCTATTCCTTTTAACAATTTAACTTATTTTCAGTGCCCTTCCCCCAAATGCGCTGGATGAATTCCACAGTTTTTATCTTTTTCAGTCAATGTTCCTCTTTCAGTGCGTAATTGTACTTGGATAACTTCCTCTTTTAATACATCATAGTACCCGGATAAAAAATTATATAGTTCTTACTAGGGCTTCTATAAGCATATGCTCTCATGAAAATTTGGGGGTAAGAGATCTCAATACTTTCTCCATGACACTTTGATCATCTAGAATCTCACCATTTCTTTTTAATTGGTTTACTACAACCAAAACTCTTGAAAAGTAATTGAAAATTGATCCTGATTCATTCATGTGCAGCGTCTCAAACTGGGGGTTGAAAAATTTGGAGTAAAAAAGTTTCTTCACCTCATCTTCTCCATAAAAATTGTTTGAAAGATCTCCCATACTTGCTTGGCGGAGGCGGAGGTGGCTGAGGAAACCTTTTCGAAGGTGCCTTCAACGATGCCTTGATAAATTAGGAAGAGGGCTCTTCCGTTTAACCTCCTTGACTCCTTTAGGGCATTCTTTTGGTCATTTATTAGTGTAGGTTCGTGCTCTAGGGTTTTAAGTTCATCGTATCCCTTCTCTACAACCTTTAGCAATGCCTTGATCTGAATGCAACAATGTCTCCCTGCATCATTTACAATAGTCTTAAAAAACCTTCTTCCAACGCTAACTAATATTTTTCATATATTGGTATTACCATTACATTAAACTTATACGCAAAACATGGCTGCCGAATTTGACCATACTATGCATGACATGCAAATATGTGGTTTCATATCATGAACAATTCATAGCTAAGAAACCTAATCCTCCTTTGGAGACTAAAAGAAGGAAGAGGCCAAAGAGGACTTGGAGGAAGAGGTAAACCCGGTTTTGGCAATTTCAATACGGAAGAGGAGTAATGATGCAATCTATAAGAGGTGAGGTGAGGTGGGGTGGGGTGGTAGCAATTTTAGTCCACCATTCAATCGTACAAGGTACGATAAATCTTCGCTTCAATGCTTTAATGGTAAGAAATTTGGGCATTATAGTTTTGAGTGTTAATAAAACAACTCACATGAAAGTGGAGAACAGGTGAATTTTGCAGAAGAATCAAGGGAAGAAATAGAGCCAACTCTCATATTAGTATGTAAAGAATGAGAAAATAAAAATACAAACTCATGGTTTCTTGATAGTGGAGCAAGCAACCACATATGAGGGATCCATGCCCTTTATTTTTTGTTTTCATATCTTAATAGACCTAAAGATTTAAAATATATCTCTTAACTCCCTTACTAACCCTACCTCATTTTAACTATTTTTTTAGTCCTAAAAAATATAAACGACATGCTCATACTAAACCATTCATCTCTTTATCTGATATATTCTCCCAAATTTTTCTCTTTTTCTCTTTTCCTTGAGATTCTTCCAAACCCTTTCTCTCTCTCTTTGTATTTTCCCCCACTTTCTCTCTCTAAGTCTCTCTCTCTCTCTCTCTACCTCGCGTTTCCAAAAACCCTCTTTCTCATTTAGGATCTCTTAAACATGCACAATCTACATACATTTAATCATCCATACAAATAATATCCAACCAATCCATAGAAATCAAGCAATTATATAAAGAAAAATAAACCATGGAGAGAGAGAGGGGGTTTGGGAAAAGTCATGGAAAGAGAAATTTAGGAGAAAATCACGTGAAGAGAGAGAAAGGATGGTGTTTAGAAAAGATATGTCTTTATTATATTTATTTAGGGCAAAAAATTAGTTTTAAAAGGTATAAAGTCAGCTTAAGGGGTTAGAAGATACAAAACTTAGAATTTTTATGACCAAAGATATGTTTTGAAACTTTGGGTCTATTGAGATATTAAACTTAAAAATGGGGGATGGAGATATTTTCCCAAAAATATATTAATAGAATTGGATGAATCAATTGAATGGTCATGCAACATTTAGTGACTTCTCAAAATTTTTGGTCAAAGGAAAAGGTGCAATTTTAATTCTACTGAAGAATGTAAAGCATGAATATATTTCTAATGTCTAATATATGCCAAACGTAAAAAACAACATTGTTAGTTTGGGGCAGCCGTTGAAAATCGGTTGTATGTTCACGTAAAGAATTTAGCCATCATCATAAAATGATAGAAATGAAAACTTGATTGCTAGGATTGACAACAGTGTAGGAAAAACTAAATCGGAACGGTTCATCGGACATGGGGTTGAAGCGGTTCAACTGGCCTGACGGGGCAAGTCCTGGGTGGTAAAAAAACTATTAAAAAATGAAAAATATAAAAAGTATATTTAAAGTACAATTAAATAAAGAATGTCCAAATGTAGTTGAAAATTAGTGAAAAAATAGATTTCAAAAAATCTATTTGTGCCCAGAAATATTTTTGAAATTTTCCAATAAAGATGGAAAAATGAGTATTGATGGCCACGAAAAATTCTAATCTTTACCGGTTAGAATTCTAACTGCCCCGATTTTTCCTATGCTGGGTTGGCATGTCAAAAAATAGAATTGTTTATATAACCGATATTTTGTAATGTCTAAATGTATC